TGTTTTATTAAAAGCAGACTATGAATAGATTGATGGAAGAGGCAAAAACATAATTTTGAGAACTTCAATCTACAGGTATCTGTAACACATAAGCTTCATCTCTATTAATGAATTAAACATGGCTATGTACTTTGTCATGGAAGACAACTTGTGTGGAATGACCCATATCCACTCTAAACCAGCATGCCAGCTTCCAGCAGTGGGTGTTCTTGAACCATAATACCTGCAGAAGTATACACAAGAAGTTTTTGATATTATGCTAGATGACTAACAAGCAATTATGTTCTGACATAGTTGTCAATCACAGGAATGGTCAATTCCAGAACACAGGCATTTGCCTGGATACTCTGCTACTGGTGAATTAGTAAAAACACAGCTTGTATTTTCAGACCTGAAAGTTCTTAGCTGGAGCTTGACCCTTCCACAGGTTAAGAGTGACAAGGGAAAGCCATTAACAAACATACAGTGCTGATGAACGCAGAGAATATGCTTTACTACCCTTAACTCAGACCAGAAAATATTTGAAAGTTTAGTCCTGAACTTCAGACAGCTGATTCACAGGAATGGTAGTAAGTGACTTAAGACCCCACACAAATGGGGCTAGGTGTAAACATCTGAGCTGTACAATGATTTATTAAATATTAATTTAATCTTTTAGTAAGGCTGACTAGATAAGCTCTGCTGCTGTTCAACCTGAAAGACATAACTTATCTTCAGTAAATGCTGGAAAATGCTGAACACAAAATGATTTTAGAGTTCCAATCTTCTGTGGAGTTTCTGAGCCTTAGTCAGAATTCCTTATTAAGTATATCTACTTGCCAGAACTATTTGTCTTAACTTAACTTTCCATAACCAAAAATCAGATTCTTAAATTCAGAATTAAACTGATTAAGTCCTAAAATGTCACTAGTGGTAGCTGTAGAAGTGTGCAAAACCTCTATCTTTTTTCAGGGAAAAAGCAATGTAGTTAACTCCCTGTGCTCTAGAAAGTAAGAAACTTAGATATTCAAATTCTTAGATTTCATTTTCAAGGAAGATCATAGGTTTTAATGTATAAATACATAAAAATTTGTCAGCTGTGGTGACTGATCATTTCTTATTTTGAAGACAGTACATTATAACTTCTAATTCTCATTTCAGAGAAATATACAGCTTAAAACATAGGGCTGACCTTAAATAAAATAACAAAAATAATTTCCAAAAGGAAACAGGTCATTACTGACCACTAAGAGAAAAAAAGTACATGTGTACTCTTACCCAAGAAAATTATTCATATGACATAGATAGGATATAGTCAGTAGGGATAGAATATAATTCCTTTAGTGAATAATACATAGGGAAGTAAGGACAAATATATTAAAGCATGAGATTAACAATCCAAATGCATTCTAATGTGCCATCTTAGCTTTTTCGCCATTAATAAGCATGTACTGACCAGGGTAATAAAAGGATAATAAAAGAAGTCATGCTTTGACCGACTTTTTTTACCAGACAGAATTTTGTTAGTTCACAATAATATCTGGCTTAACAGTTATGAGCACCTACGACACTGCAAATCAGCATATAAATGCAATAGAATACATCATTCACCACAACAATCCTTTGAATGTTTCTGAGTGAGCTCCAAAGTACCTCTGTTAAAAAATATATTAATATAGGACATTCTTGGTCAACATGCCACACAATGCTTGCAAATAAATCTTTTAACATGATCTATCACTACCATGTTCTGGTTTTAAAATCTTTAGCGAAATATATTTAGTGTAAATTTTGGTAAGTGTACACAGGATTGACGTCCATGTGAATTCATGAAATGATTCCTTGGTGAATACAGCAACTTTGAAGAAGAGAAATTTAATTGTAAATTTCTATAATTTACAATTAAAAAAACTACAAAAACTCCGAAAACTACATAAATTTTAAAATCATAAATATTTACCTTATTACCTCCTGTTTTAAACATAGATTAATCTTAAATTACACTGAACTTTCCCAATTAGCATATAGCAAACGTAATCACACTTGAACAGAAAGAAAATGAAATTTGCTTTTCAGCATCAATCTCACGAGTGTGTAAGATAGAGGAAAATATTAATACTTCTTCCCAGACTAACAAAAATGGCTACTTGACTTCATTTAATTTTGTAATAGCATGGCTGGCTCCTTTCTTTTTCTAACATAACTGAAAGGGCTGTGGACAGTATGATGTACCAAAAAAAGGGAATAGTTCTGTCTTTTTTTCCCTTTTTGCACACTTGGTGAAAAAGTGTTTTTCCATCCTAAGACAGTCATACAAAGATGCTGGTGGAGAGCCCCTTCACTTTATGCTCTGGAAAGTGCTTTTTTTACAGAGGGGGGGAAAAAACCCAAACCTTTGTTTTAATGCTCCCCTCTCTGGTGGTGTAGAGGCTGAATAGAATAATTACACTCTGCTGCTTTGCCAAGGGAAGAATTTTATGAGTTTTAAAAGATACTGCTCAGATCAAGATGTAAGTATCTAGCATGTAATCCTTCCCATAAAGCTGCTCTGCTGACAAAACTAAGCTGTCACCTTAGAATAAATAATCCTTTCCAAGTAACAAATTAATGGGCTTCTTCACTTATGATGTTTTGTTTTGCAATAAAAATATATAATAAAATTGCAGACATGTTCTTATATGAACCCTTCATGCAATTATATAAAACTTTACAACAATTCAAGAACATCCATTCTTCTATTTATTTGTAAAAACTTCATAACTAAAAAAAATGGAAACAAAAAACAAAGAAACAACCCAAAATCCAAGCATATAGGGAAGCAATAACACATTAAAATGTAGAAGCACAATGCTATATGCTACTCACTGTAGTAGCACAGCATTAAGCATTTCTATGAAAATATCCAGGATTCTCTTTACACTTTAATATGAAGTGTTTGTTTCTTGAAAGAGTTCTGCACTGCGCTGATAACTCCCTAAACTGTTTGATGCAAGGCTGGTTTCATGAGTTATCCTTAAAGAATTCCCTCAGGGCATCTAAAACCTATGCTCCAATATTAAAAGAACAGATTAACTTCTTTTCAAACCAGAAGGTTGAAATCGCAAATCAATCTATAAATAAAATGGTATTTTACACTTCGAAACCTAGGATATTTGAAATTTCAATGTTTTCTCCATCTTTTATATTAATAGACTTGCAGCTGTAGATTTCTCAGAAAAATCATGGTTCTTTAGTCAGTACAAAGGTATGGAAAACTGTTTCTCACGTAATATTTTATGCAGTTCTAGGATACATATTAGTACTTGATCACATTTTCATTGACTGGTATTAGCAGGAAACTTTATGGAACAGGAATATCCTGTAAATCACTGAAAACTATTGCAGTGGATTTCCAACAGAAGACAAGTGTGAACAGAGAAATCAACAACAGTTTGCAGTTCTGGATTGATTTCCTCATAGCTCTTCAAACCCCTCTTGATTAAAAGGAAAACAAAGTTCTCCTTTATTCTGATTCAACACCGGAAAATCCTCACACTTTTTTATCAAATTTTGTATTATTTACAGCTACAATCTCCTACCTTCACACCATCCTCATTTCTCTGCAATGTTTTCTAGAAAGCTACACTACTTCTCTCTCATCTTAAAAGCTATTTGGTCACACTATCATGAGTTTCAGAAATCCTCTCAGTTTAGATTCATTCTCACAGCAACTGGAAAATATTGTAATAAATTTAACTTGTCACACCTCATTGAGCACATTTTTATTAACATGCAGCACCAGTTCTATCTCCTGTTATATACAGGAACACACATAGTATCTTTTCTAATGCCTATTAACCAATAAAAAGAACGGAAAAACATGGATGAATTTTGAGGTAACAAGTCCCAATTGCCACTCTTTTATAAGTTCATCTTTAAGTACTGCTTTATTTGACTATGTAAACAGAACTATCATCTCAAGAAAAAATGTTTTAAAAAAAATGTAATGAAGAATTAATCCTCTGTGAAAACAACTGACATGATCCCCAAGCAATAAAATTTTGAGCTAACGCTACTTGGTTTAATAATCATGGGCTGAACAGAAACAGAAATAGAAATCTGCTGAATCACTGATAGATCTATCTTAAGGAAAAAAATCTAAGGTAAAGAGTTGGGATTTGTGTGTATGATTATAAGAAAACTTTATCAACTGACAACACTGCAGTCAAAGTCAACACAATACATAGACAGGATATATGTGTACCCAAGTCTAAGTAAGACCTTCTTGCACACACATACATACATACATATCCTGTGTAACATTTGATTATTCTTCCCTCCTGAATGGCTTTAGTAATTATTAGCTATTCTCTGAAATTTCTGTTAACTGAGAAGTGAACTGAATCTCCATGGACAGCCAAACCACAGCCATTTTTAACATATGAAGTATTTCAGAAGAAAGAAAAAGACGCCAAATGCCAGGGAAGCATTTTTTTTTTAGTTGTTAACTAGTGTTCATTAACCTTTGTAAAGATAAATAGTCCATGATTATGAATACTTCAAAAATTCTTTCCAGTCATGCAAAGGAAAACACATACATACACAATTTAAGGTATCACCCTTACAAAATTCTTTTTTGTGTGTGTGTTAATAGGACTCTTGAGGTACAAGCATTTATGTTACCATAAATGATCTAAAAATTTAGAATAAATTTTTAAAACACACATACAGGCACACATAAAAAAAAAATCCAAACAACTGTATTACCAGAGATACTAATTAGCTTATGATCCAAATTGTTTCTAAATCTTGCATATGACAAACAAATACAGAATATCAAAAACTCCAGAAGGAAATGACCATGAGAATGTTTAAAAGGCAAATATGACTCTGTTTATACAACATTCTCCTTAGAGATTTAAGCTGTCAGAAGATAAAGGGATCTAGAAAGACTGTAATGAAAATAAAAAAAATCTTATTTTCCCAAAGGAATTAGAATAGCTTTGTAAATTAATAAATAGAAGACATTAATATGCCCCTACAAAAGAAAGGCTTCTTAATTTACTCTGATGTATCAATAAGTCTTTTATTCACACTGATAAAAGGAAGACAAGCAGATGAGCAATAGTTAAGGGCAAAGTCTACACTTGCATTTCAGTAAAACAAAGTGCAAATGAATAGGAATTAGATGAATATAGAAGATGCAGATAGAATACATTCTTTGGAGAAAAACTTGTAATGGGGATCTAAAAAGGAATGGTTTTGGCATTACCATGCAAGACCAGTAGATGCATAATTTTTCACAGAGGCAGACATCTTTCAGTCATTGAATACAACAGAATTCATTGTACTAAATTTGCAGAAATAAATTATCAATAAATAGACTGCAAACATTAAGAAAGATCTTTGAGAAATAATGATTAAACACAGGATGCTTCCCTTAGCCAATCCCCTGTGACATAAAAGTCTGATTTATGATATGGTCAGGACAAGGGGTGTAGTCTACTGTCCTGCCCTGTCTGCTGTGACCTGACAGGTACTCCTGGCCACCTTCCACCACACAGCCTGAACAGCATCTTATCCCTTCTGTCATTCCTGTGCTCTCCTTTTCACCACTCTTGGGTCTCCTTGTCTCTACCCAATCTCCTCTCACAACCCATCTCTAGCTTTTCCCCTTTGGTACCTGTTTTGCCACATTCATACTCAAATTCAGAACATGTGATAGCATTACCAAGTAGTTGCAACTGATATGTACTGCCAGCCTGGCAAGACTCGGCACCTCTAACGATCTTCAGTGCTTCCCCCTCCCATCCCCTGTGACTTTCAGCCATTTCTCCCATAACTCCTGCTTAACTATCTAAGAAATCCAGCCATTTTTTATTTGCAGTTTCTCTCACACACTGTCATACATCACAAAGATCCATTTCTCGTATCATTTTGAAAAGTCTCTAACATGCTATTTGATTATTCCAGCCTCAGAACACGGAATAATCATGTTCCCATAGCCCTAAAAGCCCATTCTACCTCTCTCCCTCGAATGAACAAGTAAGGCCACTGCGTTTAACCTCACAAGGTACATGACTAGAACTGGGAGGAAGGAATCTGAGTGAGAGGACATGTCCACACAGAACTCTTAAGTGATCTAAGCCTGTAGTGATGTAAGCTTGTTTTGCCTACAGATGCGAGCCCACATAGATACCACATAACCGGGCTTCTATCTAAAAGTTTTCAACTGCCCGTGTAGCCTCTCAGAAGAGCAGCCTTTCCTTGCACTCCATATTTGTACATATTTTGAAATTCTTGGCTTCCAATTTGATTTCTCCTTCATCTGTATACTCTTCACATGAAAAGTAAAAACCCAACTGTGTTTCTTTACCTCTCAGCTAACACCTTTGCTGAACATTCCAAGAATATGGACACCAAAATGTCTTTTATACACCAGAGGTGCCAGAATTTGTTGTTACATATTTTAAGCCTAAGAAATCTTGAAGATTCTCTGCATTCTTTTCTTCACCTGATGTGGGACATGGAGGCCCTCCTCTTTCCTCACATACACAAAGGAAAAAAAAAAAAAAAAAACGGATCTCATTTTTCTGCTAACTCTTTTTCCAACATGTTGGAAATGGTGGGAAAAATCCCAGGAAATTCTCTTCATTCTCTTGGCATTGGAAGAAGATGTCTGGATTACAAAAGCACTTTATTTCTCTTCTCAGGAAGGGACGATGGGAAATATTGCCCCAATTAGCAATGAAAGGATTATCATTCTGTCATTCCATCTTGTATCCATCCAGAATGTACAAGGCTTACAACCAAGTCTTCCTAAACCCGAGATTCACTGTGTTTTCATGGGGCTTAATGCTTCTTGGTTACAGGGAAAAAAAAAAGCAGTTTATTGGACTTGTGATAATTGATTTTACTTGCATGCAACTTAGCTGGGTTGAGTTTTCAACTTTACATCTTTAACCTTTTATTAGTGTCAGCACTACCTTGTATATTTTCAGGGTCAGAGTAACGTTATCTGTACACTACAGATATTGCTCCTTACAAGTTCTCCAAAAGCTCTACTGAGCAGCAGGTGAAAGCTTTAAGTCTTCATGACGATAACACCATAGATGACACTGTGGAGGAAGAAGTGCCAGTCACTCCTCATCACACTCGGCTAATCATGGAAGGAAAAGCTGCAGTATAAGATATAGTAACAAATATCACAGGCAGATTCAGGAAAAATCCCAATACAAATATGTATTATTAAGAATGCAGAAGAAGTATGCAGAAAATTTAACCTCTGTATACAGTGCTATGGTGATTCATATACATAATTGATACATAATTTCCATCAGTGAAACTATTTCACAATTAGGTAAAATGTTTTACAGTAAAGTACTTAGTGGGTTGATTAGCTTAGTGAAACAATTATTGAGAATTATATAATTGCATTCATATGGAGAAAAAGCTGGATATTAAAGGGCTCTTTAACAGAAAGTATGTTCATTTGCAGTGTAATTACCTACTGAATCAAATTATCAGAGAAAACAATGGCTCCGTATCTTCCTCCTTACAGCTTCAAAACAAAATTAAATACCTCTCTGGAAAATAATTTTAGCCAAATTTTATTTATTAAACTCTATATAGACGTAAAAACATAATGCTTGACTAGATGATCTACTGATACATACGACTGAGATATTTTGTCACAGTATGGACAGGGCTTCAACTGTCAAAAACTACAAGTAAGGAATTAAATGAACAGATCTGTGAAAGAATAATATACTTTTTTTCACATGCAGGTAGTGAAAGTGATGGTGATTATTCCAAACTTTCCCCCAGTAATCAGAATGTACAAACCAGCCACACATCACAAAGTTATGCATTAATACTGCAGTGAAGCAAGACACACAAACTGACACAGGAAATAACGTTGTGTGTCGTAAAGTATCTGGACTTCTGTAGAAACAGTAGTGGGCACAAGAGAAATACCTCAGTCTTGCAGGCTTGACCTCATTTAGCACATCCATCCTTTCCAATTCACAGTCCAGAACTTGTACATGAAACTACAACTGAATTAACACCTGAGGGTGTTACAACAGAAAACGGAAATTTGCTTCCTTAAGGTTATTACATTTAATTCATCACATAATGTTTTTTCATGTTGCTTTTTTCTTATGTTCATTTATTTGCTAGATATGTATTTGAATCCATGAAATTTCACAAGAAAAAGAGATTCTGTGTATTTTTAACTATTATAAGAATCATGTATGATTTTAAAGACAGCTCTAAAATCAATTTCTGCAGTGTGAGTGAATTTGAACACTACAAAGACATAAAAGGGTAGTATTCTGGATTCCACATTTTTAATGTGCATTAATAAAAGTGAGTTAACCAAACAAAAAACTTTAATACATGTAAACAACAGAATGCATCTGTTCAGGTGTGATGGTAAGTGGAAAAGTAAAGCATGCAGTAACTGCAAGAGACCAGGTTGCTCTGACCTAACACAAAAATATTTAAGGGAATACTTTAAAATATGTCAGCCACAAAATGCAATAAGAAAAAAAGAAATGTGTCATGTGTTCTATTATACTCATTGCCATAGTGTACAAGCAATTCTAAGAAAATTATATTCATGGCAAGATACTTTTTCCTCTTCAGCTGATACCTCAAGTACAGACCTATACAGTGAACCAGAAAGCTCTTATACATTACAGACATTAAAAATGTACTAATATCACTCAATCTTCCACTTTTTATATACTCTGGAAGTTCTTCGTAAAGCTCAGCATGTTCAGATATAAAAAAACTCAGAGATAACCTCATATTAAATTGGGATTGAGTGCCTAAATGAAAACAAAAGCCCTTTCAGACTGTACCATTAAGAGAGACATGCTGAAGATCAGGTCAGCTTTGGGTGGTGTGTAACACCTTTGAAGCACAGGTCTGGCCTACCAAGTAGCTGGTGAACCTTATGCCATCAGCACCTGGTTTCCATTTCCTTTTTCATATCAATTCAAAAGTGTCTGAAGGTGTGTCACAGTCAGTTGCAGTACGTTTCCACAGCATATAACAGAACTTGTGTCATGACAAAAATGTCTGAGGTCCTCACAGGATAAATACAGCCAAAGACACCAGTCTCATCCAAATGGCATTTAGGGATTTGTTTCTGTAATGTAAACATTTTAGGAAGCACAAGATAGCACAAGTCAAACACTATCTGAGAAAACACTAATACTCGGGCAACACGAATAAATAATAGTTTCAATCTTCCTCCCAGGCAATGTGCTATTTATCAGTATAGATGTAGCCCATATTAAAGCTAGGAAATATGAATATGAGCCCAAGATCTTAGTATTGTCACCCTGAGTGAGAGTAACTAGTTACTGAAGGCGTGGCCATGGCGTGATGTCCCATCTCTGTGACCATATGAGAGTGAGACCACTTCTCCCACATGTCTACCTCTACACTTGCTAGATGAATTAAGATTCCTTTTGTTTAATAGCTTGCTGATTTCCCATTTTATTACTTTGCTGCACTTTGTTTGCAAATCACTGACAGCTTGTGCATCTGCAAGCAGCAGAAGCTTGGTTATGACAAAACGTCCAGAAGGACCTGCCACATCTGGATCAAAATGAATGTTTGTAACCCCAGTTAATACAGACATTTGCCTCTTTTTTTCCTTCACTTCTAAAATCTCTACACTACTTTTGCTTAATACTTGCTCCCCAGAAAAAAAAAGACGTGTTTCGCACTGATAAGAAACTTTTGAAAATAAATCTTTTGAAAACAATTACACTAAAACCTAGCACAGTCAGAGTGCCACATGACAAATCTGCTGAGAAGTCCCACTTGACTAAGAACAATATATGTATACTTCTTCAATGATAAAATGAAAATACACTAACATCATAGTGCAAAAAGTGAATAAGCTTAACAAGTTTACTCTGTCCAAAAGTCCCCAGAAAACGTGGAGTATATGTGAAGCAAGAATTGGATGGGAAAGACTTGAAAGAAAAATGCAAAAAAGAGAAAGAATTGATGGTATTTGAGCTAATTTCTAAATAAATATTACTTATAGATTAATTCCTATTTCTGAGAATTTGCTGGTCAGATACAAGAGTACAGAAATATATTCCCTCTTCTTTTGATTCATAACTGTCTTCTGAATTATTAATTATCACCTTAAATACTAATATTTTGGCTAAACCATACCTCTAAGCTGAGAGAGATGATAAGCTTCAAAACTGCATTTTTTTTCAGATGGATGCAACTTCACAGGATAGAAGAAATATTTTTATTAAGTATTATTTATATCTTCCATTGCTTTAACTTCAATGCACCTTAACATTTATTCCCAGATAAAGTTCTGCTGAATTTCAGATTTCAATTCAGAAATTCTACAGTAAATTATAGATATCATTTGTGTAGCTGTCCCATTTTGTACTAGAATTGTTTCTGTCCATTGTCTTGAGAGAAGTTTGTGTATTAATTAAATACCACTATATTTTTTAATCTGCACTGTACAGAACTCATGCAAAGAATCTGCAAAAAAATCTGTATGAAGTAAAACATTGTTCTGATGCATTTACTTGATTATAAATAATCAAGTAAACAGGAATTATACTATACTACAGCCAAACTATGTCAACCTTTTAATTAAATAGCACATTTTAGCATTAGTTATACAAAGCACTGCAAGTTAGAAAACTGCCCTACTGCTTCCCTTCCCTGAACTTAAAGTAGCCCATTTGATTTACAGTAAAACAGATGGAGTTAATAACTACAACATTGGGATGAATGTGAGTACCTACTCAAGACTACAAAAACAGAAGTCATGGCAGACATGTAATCATAGCTGCCTTTATAATTATAAGCACTGGAGGTAGCTCAAAAGCACCATGACTTAGGCTATGGTTTCACAAGTCTCTGGCTGCAGCACCAGACAGACACACAACTGTTTGTGCAGCTGCTCCATGAAGCAGATCAGGGAAAGTATCCAACTTAAACATAATACAGCAGGAAAAATTATCCAGTGTTAGTTTCCCACTGTACTTCACTAAGAAGCCACAAAAGTGGTTGGGCTACTACAAAGCACATACTGTCAAAAAGTCAGCAAGGAAGGAACATGAATAACTTACAAGTTCATATTGATGCTAAAAATAAATAAAGAGCAAAGTAAGAAAGAGCTTTAGAAATACCCATGATGAAAACTGGCACTTAACTGAGAAACTGCCAGACAAAGAAATTGCCCACTCTGTTTGAACAGAATACTATTCTTCAGCATAAATATTTCTGATACAAATCAATGAAGATGAAGTGATCTAAAATATACAGCTGGTTCACAAGCCTTAGAATAAATTTTATCCTTCCAGTACCACAGATACTTAAAAGGTAAGGAGATATGCAAGCATGGAACATGAAAATAAAAGCCATGCTTCAAAAACTCATACTGACTTTAATTCAGGAACCCACATCAAATAAGGAAATCAGGATTACAGGGTGCCCCACAAACCCAACAGAGAGAAGCAGATTCTTAACTGAATTCACTGAACCTCAATTTGCAGAGAAGCTTGAATACAGATGTTAGAAAACAAAATACTTAAAACAGTGTACTTTTTAATACTCAAATTCATAATGGCAACCCAATTCCTACTGAAACTGATGTGACTTGATACCTCAGTTGACACTGTCTAACTTGTGGGAGCAACTGGGACACTGAGGCGGGAGATGAAGAAGCAGGCTAATTTTCCTCTATAAGTACCTTTCTCTCACTGTTGACTACAGGAGAACTCAAGAAAGCTAGGCTCCCAACATAGTTGTCAAGATTACATGGAAGGAAGATGGGTTTTGGTCTCTTTGTGGATTTAATTGAGCTGCTCAAATGCACTCCACTCAAGCACAGGCAGCAAGGAGTCTCATGGCTCAAGGCATTTTCTCTTGTTAATCGAGAAAGATACCACCAGGAGTCATGACTGGTGCACTTCACCGTCCTTTTCCTCCACAGCCAACACTGAGCACTAAACTGCCTAATTTAGGACAGAACTTGCAGCAGAATTTCTAAAACTTATAATCACTAAATATGATCAACAGTAAAAAGTAGGTACCTTTCAGTGACAAAATCAGATGCCGTGTCTTGGAAAAGTCTTTCAGCAGATCCTCAACAGATGAATTAATTATCTCAGTGACT